GTCAAGAGGATATATGAGGAGGGCAAAGCTGATGACTTGACCGCCACGCTACTGAGAGTGCTCAACGATGCCCGCGAAATAGCTACTGCCTCCCCGCCGTACACAGAGGAGAGAGTTACTAGTGCTCAGCTCTTGGGCGCACCATTACAACAGCGTAGACGACAGCGTGAAGTACGAGGCAGGTCTACTAGTGAACTATATCCCAAGTTTCACGTTCGGCGTGATGGACGGCGCAGGGTCAAACTCGGGAATGGTGAGACCACGCGCAGCGAGCTTGCGGGGGGGATCGAGGCCAGCGTCAGGAGCCTCGAGAACGCAGCCTTCTCCACCGCGGCCATCGATCGCATGCTCGAGGCCATCAACAACTGGTCCCGGGACTACCTTCAGCGCACCAAGAAGGAGAAGGCCAAAGGCAAGCAGGAGTTCGCAGGCCCCGCGTCCCAAGCTTCGAGAACTACAGCATCAAGGATATATCGTCACGGATGAAAGCGGCCGCAGCAGGCTGCAAAAGGCGCGCGCTAAAGATGGGGCGCCCGGCTCCAGCACAGATGGCAGCATGGATTCGAGAGCTAACGGAGCCCCCATACCTTCGACAAGCCAGGGGTCTCTCAGAAGAGTCGCATTACGTACGCGCTGCATGGCAATATGCTCCTGCTCTACGAGGACGGGGTCGCGGCCGAGCCCGAAGCGAAGCTCAAGGAGGACCCCGAGGATCCCAACACCCCCAGCGAAAGGCCTCATGATCAGCCCCGTGGAGGTCTAGAGATGATGCAGTTTTGGATTCCAGTCGAGCAGTTGATCAGCGAAGCCTTTCGAGGAATGGGAGGAGACGTGAAGATGAACCTAGCCCCTCGCAACAACAAGGCCCGCCAATTGGGTGAGAAGCGCAGAAGAGGCAAGAACTGAGTGAGTAGTCCCTACGGCCACGCCCTCGTGCTGGGCCTCTTCCTGCAGGCCATCAGCCTGCTGCCCGCGCCTTCCAATATTCTCCTTGCTGGTGTATTCTATGCAGTTGATCAGTTCACGTGTTGTGATATCTGCACACGTGCGTTCTATCGTGTCAGCGCACGTGGGTGCTCGGTTGTGCGGCTGTTGATTGCGCAGCAGAATTTTGCAGAACGTCAGGTGTTGCGGCAGCAGCACGGTTGCCTTGTTAGGCGAAATGGTGAAATGGGTGGCGTAGCAATGGCCATCGAGCCCCAGCCCGAGCCAGAGTACAACAGTCAGAGGATAGTCTTGAAGGGCTTAAGTACTGCACTGTACTCCTCCTCCTCCTCCTCCTCTCCTCCTCCTCCTTGTCAGCAGCATCGGAAGCATCGAACCATCATCCTCCTCCTCCTCATCACCATCATCATGGGCATAATCAGCATCATTAGCGGCAGCATCATTATCATCATCGTCATCATCAGCATCATCATCAGCAGCATTATCAGCACCGTTCGCGTTAACATTGGTTACGCGTATGATCCCATCCGTCGCAGGTGAAGTGAAAAACTGTCCTGCTTCGCTCAATGGCTTGCAGTGCGCGATCGCTCAGATGACCACTCTGTTAGCGAGCCGCGTGTGCAACCTTTCTAGGAGCGGACATACAGGTGGTCACGCATGCGATCAGTGCGATTGCGGATGTGTGAATGTCTGTGTCTGGTTCTATCGTGCGGTGCCAGAAATCGTGAGTGGCGGAACCGTGAGAGATCACCCACTGCACCCACATTAGCAATCGAGCCAACATCAGCAACGACCGCTCACCTCCCCAGGTCATCGACAGCTTCGCTGACAGCTGCGTCGACCACTCCTTTGCTTAGAAGATGACCGACTTCCACTCGCGATCGCTATCTGTTCCAACAGGTGCCTCGTTGACTCTGGCTCCAGTTCCGACGACGACTCGGGTTCTTACCGAGACGCTTGCACGGGTTGCTATGCCAACGCCAGCACCGACATTGATTCTGCTTTCAGCCACGACTCCCCGCTCCGGCTGCTGCACCATTGCCAGCTCCAGCGTCCGCGCCAGCCCCGTCGCCGGTTCTGATCTGATTCATGCCGCGGGTCCAATCATGGGTTCAATAATTGAAGGTTGTTATTGTGTTTGTCCAGGGTTAACAGCTTCCCCAATCCACTCACCATGGTCAATCACATCGTATTGTTGGTCGCACACACAGTCATGATATGTCGTGTGTGTCGTTCTCCCTGTTCCCAACCGCCCTGGAATGCGCGCGCCGACGGTAAATTGTCTACGGCCTTGCCGTTTTCCTCAGAAGGCATATTGTTTTTGGCACCGTCTCGGCCCCCCCGCTTCTGGATTGCGTTCGATGTTAGGAAACTGCATCAGACACTTGGTAGCAGAAAACACGAGAGACTTCAACATTGTCTCATCTGCCCGCGTCAAGGAGGAATAGTTCAAAGGATGCCTGAGACGGCAAACAGCTGGTAGTAGGGATAGTGGTTGGCCACGAATCTGCGGGCATCTTCATTGCCGCGGCGCTGTGCTTACATATTGCGGCCA